CGCTGAGGGCGCTAATGTCCATCTGTGCATACTGACGACCGACGGCGAAGCACGTGGTTCAGCAGGTGACATTCGCGTCATTTGCTCAAGCAGCCAACCAGAGATTAATTTAGAGAAACGTGGAAAGTAACGTAAAACAAAGACAGTTAAGCCGTAAATCACGCGAAAATAAAATTACTGGAATGAATGGTTGTGAACAAAATGAAGTTTCTGATCAAAAGCAAATCAGGAAACTTGGGATTTAAAAATGTGGATCGGTTCATGATTAGTTTTCGTGTGAATTGCGTGAATACGGGCGAATGAGTTAAAGCCAGCTGCGCAAGAAACAAGATATGTCCTCTCCCTGATTTTATTTTTGATTTATTTTTAAATTGCGGCTAATGCAAAACGCATTCAACTGGACAAATTAAATTCAATTACCCAGAATAATTTGTAGAAATTTAGGTCTCGGACAATTCCATTCACCAAACCTCCTCATAGTTGAAATTTTTGTCAATGAAAATCTTGGTGTGCGTGTGTGTGGAAATAACTGCGGGGTTTTCCTTTCGCGTGCATAATATTTAATTATTTTTGCCACAGCATTCTGCTTTCATTTGAGACATTATCCTATTCTGGTTTCAATTCTAGGTGTAAGATTTTTACCTTTGCAAATATATGATCTTGTTTCATCGGGCACTAAAAAGAAATAAATCTCGTTAAATCGAATCCCATCAATGTCTTGTTTTCCACCATGCATCAGAAATTCGGGACAGTTTTCTACAGCGACGCTGAGGAATTCTACAGAAAATCTTCGAACATAAAATCCTCTCGAATAATGCTGTTTTTCGTCAATGGATATTTTTAGCAGCATTGTTCGTAAATAAACTCGTTTATTAATTCAGCCTCCCGAAAAAAAGAACAGACTCAAGAACCTGTACGTTCCTCAGCGGCTTTCGCAAGATCAAAACTGGAACGCAGGAATTCAGTTCCTCTCCTTCGGTCGTGTGCAAAAATGAGAACACAGTATGACACAGATATTTCTCCTAGCTGAAACCAAAAACCGGCGGTTCGGCGAAAAAAGGGCACCCCCCTCGCAAGAAAAAATTTCGACTCCATGGAATTCCCTGGACAGGCTGACCTAGATCGTGCGTCCTTGCGGAATTGCGAAGGCACGACCATGAAAAAGCACGTCGGCCAACACGTGAAACAGTCGGAGCCGGGAGATAAGAGAAGAAAGAGGGGGGGGGGGAAATCGAATGACTGGGTGCTGAGCCTGTGATGAAACCTTGCCTTCTTCTCTTCCTTTGGTGGTGGTGGTGGTGGTGGTGGTGGTAGTGCTGCTGCTGCTAAACGTGCAACACCCAGCTGAGGGGGATAAGGCAGCGATTAGCAGGCGAGCAGCCGACCCCGTGCAGTAGCCCGAGTTGCCCAACGTCGGCATCGTTTCCACACACTCATCCCGTCGCGCTTCAACGCCTGCGTGTAATTCGTGTCGAGGGCTCCATTGAATTCAGAACCAACTGTGATTCTTCGTAAAATACGATAACCCTGAACCAAAAACAAGTACGGTACGCATTTACGCAGGTAGTGCTTTCTCAAAAGTCGGCTGAAACACTGAGGAAACGCCTAGGTTAGGTTTCAGCAGGACCCAACAAAAGAACGGAAGAAAATGTGCAGTGGAATACAAATTAATGCATGGAAATCAGCCAGTTTGCCAATGGGAACATGTATTCGAGTATGTTCCTAATTTTTCCACAAAAAAATAATTGATTAAACCTAAAAGAAATCATTCATAGGAGGAACCAAACCTGTGCACAAATTCCAACACAACAATAAATAGAAGATGAACGGGAATAAAAAGTAGTGATGAGATTCCTCTGACTTTGAAGGTTGTGGGAAAAGTTTTTTTAATGAGAAGAAAAAATTCTGAAAGGAGGAAAAAAAATTATCCAGCTTTTCTCTCTCAAAGCATTATTTCCACAACGAACTATTATTGAGACATAAAAAATATCGATTAAAAGGAAGTGTATCTTAATAAAAAGATCTCAAGCTAGGGAAAATAAAGTAAGACCAACGGAATTCCCGTCATAGAAATAAAATCGTCGAGATAGGAAAATCGTCGCGGAATGCGATTTCTCGGATTGGGACGTTCAGCATCTTACAAATTGTGCCTTGCCCGAACGTAATCGGCGTACAACTGAATTTCAAGTCATGACATTTCTCATGAACAATTTAAATTGTTGTTCATCAGCTACATGTGTAAAGCAAATTTTTCTGTCAAAATCGGAAATATGCATGCGGTCCATAATCACGTGAATATGGTACTGTATGCTTAAGGGGTGTTGGGGGAGAACTGCTATAGGCCACGGACTGTCCAAGGATTTTTCGCAGGGGTTACTTGCGGAGCGAATCGGACCCCAGTAAAATATTTCCTTCCCCATTCGTAGTTTCAAAGCAACGGGAAATTAAGAGGAACCAACTCGGCACTGTACTGTGCTCTGAGCCAGGAGGTTTTTCCACATTATTAATCGGATGCAAACGCCGAGCTCGAATAATTCAAAAATTCCGACGATTTCCACCCCTTCAACAAAGCAGCGGAAGTTTCTTTCTCACTTCGGAAAAAAACGAATTATTTTCGGAGAAGGTCAAGGGTGCGGCAGACGCCGAAGAACAATGAAGAATGTATCTGTGCATTTTCGCGCGATGATCACTTCAAAAATAATGCATTAATCGCGCCAAAAAATCAGCTCTTCGGTCGTAGATGATTAAAATATCGAAGAATTGCACAGAGACATGGGTACGATAGAAAATTTGCACCAAATAAGTAAAGTAGTGTACTTCAATTTGTCTAAAGTAGCCCCGAACGATGACAAATATCAAGGAATTTTGAATGAACCTTTTCCTTAAATACGAACACAACTGAACCAGGGCAAGCTGAAGTTTTATAACATTACGAGAAAGTCATTAAAGACATTTTATTTTCTTACCGTAACTTTTAATTTTCTCACAGGGTCCATGAATTCATTGAGGTACTGTAAAGTGCTTACACTCTGTATCTTGAACCAGTTTATCCGTTTCAGTGAACAACAACATTCGCTGGAAAAATAGAAAAGGTTTAACATCACGGATAAAAAAAATTGCCGATCTAAGAAATCTGAACAGATGGGAAAAATGCAATTCATTTCCATTTTGAATCTTAGCCTTCTTTAATGTACCGTATCGCAATTTCTATGCCCCGTGATTCAGACGAACTTGGCCCAGATTTCACCCCAAACCAAGATTTAACAGCACCAGGAAATCACCATTAAAAAGGAAAGTAGGGCGAGCCAAACAATTTTACCCTCACTACACCAAGAAAACCATCAGTAAAAGAGTAACTCTTTCCAAGGATTTGTTTCTTCCGAAAGCCTTGAAATTAGCGTCGCTCAAAACTAAGAGATACAAGTAAGTTCATTTCCGGATAATCTTAAAAGTTTAGATCACCCCCTCCCCCTCCTCATTTTACACAGGTCAATTGTTTGGGCCGCGATGAGATGTCCTCTTTATAGGCGTGGGATTCGAATAGACCTCTCAAACGTCCCAGGAGTAGAGAACAGTCGAAAAAATACTCCGACAAAAATTCCTCGCTACCGAATGTACGATGTGTATTTCGCCAGGGTGGTCTTTTTCAGGAATCAAAGAAGACAATTCTCATTCTCGTTTATTTTCGCGGACAATTTTTGTTACGGCTCCTTTTTGGTGACAGTTGTTTTTATGCGAGGTGATTTTCGTCCCTTGCTTTCCTCCCAAAACCCTTACACCAAAAGATCCACGCATTTAATCACATGCAGGAAGTTCCGAAAAAATTACTGAAGTGTACTATATTCGGTAATTCCTGGTGACGCAATGCTTAAATTCCATTGTGCACAAGAAGCAAACAAAAACGAATAAAGTTGAACTTCGATAACTAGATCCTCCGTAAGTCGATCAGCTCTCTATGTCAAATTTGTGAAGTCCCTTTCGGAATTATCTCAGAAACGACGCATTAAAAACCTGCTCAACTCGAATGCTTTCCTCTCAAACTTCCATGACCTAAATTTTCCGATGGCCTCTTGGATATTAATTTATTGACAAACGAAAGAGAAAAGCAATAAAAATTTACTGTAACTTGATGTGTTTTGAAAGGAAGACTAATTGGGAAAATTAAGTTAATTAACCCTTGCCTCAAACTATAGCACCCTTTCAACTCACTTAAAAAGCAAATTCAAGACGCCCAGAATTTCACCAATTATAATTTCCTGCTATTATCATTTTACTCCATACAAAATGCGCGTTTACTCAATTCGAAACCTCACTAACTATAAAATTGATTTCCTGGTCACTTAAAGTTCGACATACAAATATTGCCAAAAAGGCATGTTTTATAAAGGCCATGAAAATTATTTGAATGTACGTTCAATTCATGTCTTAATTGAAATTTGAGAGTTCTTATTTTTGAAATATTGCAGTTTTAGAGTTACTGAAAATGAGGTGCGCGTCTCACTATGAGATAAAATTCTTCAAAGTTTTAGAATGAAAACCACGGGTGCGCGCGTCATACTCGAGGGCACGTGGTACTCGAGTAAATACGGAATCCTTTTGAAATTAATTTCAAAAGATCCCTACAAAGCGAGGAAATTCTTCGCAGAACAAATGAAGAAAAGACCACACGTCGCCGGGTCGCAAGTGCGCAACAATCGTAACGATAAGGCGCAGTAATAAGAAGCAGGCACACGCTCTTTCAAATGCAATCGGCGTCAAGGCCGCTCAGGAACCACCCATTTTCTGCTACGCAGTCCTCTCTAATCCAACCTTTCCCTGACGTATTCCATGCTTAAGGTCAAAACCAAGCCCCTCGGGGCATCCTTCTTACCTCGTTAACATCCCTCACTGAATGAACTTATTTAAATTACGGACAAATCTTATGCAAGAGGCTTCCCCTCGAGCGAAATAACCCTTCGAGTCGCAGGGTCAATACCTGCAAAGCAGCGGTGGACATACGAATGAGCACGGGCAATGCCGACTCACAGCAGCACACTTTCCGAAGGGTATGAAGAACCAGGGACGAATCTGATCCCTGACAGGCGACACATTCCTTGAATCGTCAATTTACGATCTGCATTCGACGATCAACCACTTGTGAATAATGCGGAGATCTGAGCCGACAAGCATTCCCCGAAGGGTACAGCACAAGAAATATCAGAAGCATAATTCAACGTATCACTGATGGACTCGATGCGTTGCAACCACTCCCAAATATGTCCAGAAATAAGAGGAAGAAGTTACAGTAGAATTCGGAGAGGCACATGAGAACATAATGTGATTTGTCTTAAAAAGAAAAAAAAAAACAATGAAAAAAATATTTTTGACATTAATTGAACCAAGAATTGACGAAACAGTCCAGAAATTTCGCTGCAAAAAGTACACGCAATCTCCAACCACGTCGGAAAATCTCAACAAGCTTCCTCCAAAAATTAGCCGCATTAGTAGAAAATCTGTTCACGTACAGTTTTTTTTTTCAGTAGCTGGAGAATAGTCGAATATCTTAGCGGAAAGATGCACTGCACCTTTATGCAAGTGACAAATTTGTACAGAAAATAAAAAACTCATGAACTCTTCCCATTTTGCAAACTGCATTCAAAACCAAACAAAGGTAGTGCACCAGCCGAACCTCTTCAAGTCGGACTTCACGGGTCCAGCAAAAAAATAAATTGAGTTGGGGAAGAAGGAAGGGTTACAGAAAATTGTAATTGGCGAAATTTCCGTGCATTAAATTGATTAATTAGTTGACAGGATGCTGAACTTGGAGCTAAGGGGTAATTTGCCTAATTAGTCTTTCACTTCCTTTCAAAGCATATCAAGTTGCATTTTTTTATTGCTTTCCTCTTTCCTGTGTCAATAAAATAAGTCGGCCTCCGGAAAATTCGAGTTCTGAAGGTTTGAAGGGGAAAGCCTTCGAGTTGGGAGATTTTCAATGCTTTGTTTCTGAGGGAATTCAGACAGGGACTTTAAAAAATTTGACATAGGGAGGTAATCGACTTAAGAGAGGTTCGAGTTATCGAGGTTCAATTGTATCGCCATGAATTCCGGACCAAGACTACAGAGTTCCCGGAGAAACTGCAAACATGCGTCAATTGAAAGCATGCCCTGAAGCAACTCCGCTTCAGGGACAGACGAGTGAGTAGAGATCACATTGGCGATCAGTGCTCTTCTATTGACATGCTTTCGCACATAATCTTCAAGTCCCTGAAACTGAGGTACAGTACGTGTATGCTCTTCTCCAGGCTAACTGATAAATCGAGAAAAACTGTCGGCGAGCCTCAAAGCTCACCCACGATCATCCAAGCACGAACGCGTTGACACACGCGCTGAAAAAAAAAAGAACACAACTTCGACCAGAGTCGCAAGAAACCTAATCCCACCGATAGTGAAGTTCCGAGGGAAGGGAAAAATAAAGTACTTGAATGAAAAAAATAGGCAAACCTACGATTCTTCCACTGCATCAGCTGAGTTGGTCGTGATCAACGCTGTCTTGCGGAAGCCGTTCAACAATCATCTTCCCGCAAGACAGAAGCGATGGTTGAAAAAAAAGCATTTGCGCAATCCACAAAGCCCCGACCTTCGTCAGGGGTTTTTTTTTTTCATGTGTGGCAAATCATCCTGGGGGCATTTTTTTTTCTTTTCGGGAATGCAGAATCGGAACTTATTTTAAAAGACGAGAACTTTTGGCACTGAAGTACTGCACATTCAATCGATCGACCTTGAAACAGCGGGTTTGGATGCGTCACAGTCGCGTCGAACTTGAAAATATGCATGTGTTTGCATTCACGAACTTATTTATCAAGTACCGCCAGTTGCTTGAACTTGAAGGAAAGACACAGTTATTCATTTTTCGTTTCCGAAAAATGAAACAAAATTTAATTCTATAATTATTCAGTCATAGGCACTTCGCTAGGCCTTCTGTCCCGAACTTGACTTTTTTCACGCCTCGCAAAATGTACACCTTCGAAGATCTACTTTTGAGCTATTACTGGTGTACCACTAGGAGGGTGTCTAAGCATCACCGGTGGTACGAATACCACCTACAAAATTGGAAAGAGCTGCTTTAATGCAGTACAATACCGTACGTCGATTCTGTAGAAATTTCAGATTCGTTCACAATTTATCCTCACATCATCCTTCCGATACAGTACTTTGAAAACTGTTCCAACATTCCAGTGCATCAGTTGAGAATAAAAGGTCATTTTTTTTTTATCTCTGACTTTTCAATAAATACATCATTTAAAAGTCAAGGATGAACAGAGCGGAGTGGGTGCAAGAGTAACACACCTTTTTCTGCTTGTTCGCAATGTGCCACGGAATTGTTTTCCTACCACATGGAAGATGAACCGAACTACTGTATTCCTTATCTTCGATACAGTAATATCATCTGAAGATTCTCATGTGCCATAGTTCCATATTGAATTCTGCACCGGAAATCCACGTACTGCGTCAACACAAGAGATCGGTGAAAAATCGAAGCTGCAGCAACTGAATCCAGCATAAATAACGATTTTTCTTCTTCGGTAACATGGTTAAATACCGAACCTGTAATTTTTTTTTTTTTTTTAATAACGCGTAATACAGAACTGTAGGAATTGGAAGACATTTTCTGAACACAATTACTGTGGTATTGAAAGGCGACTCCCGCTCATGTTTCTCAACGCGGGCGAGTTTTGATCATGCCCTGTATTCATAGTTGGCACTGCTTTTGGTTGCATTGTTTCAGACGAAACAATAGCCATGATTGAGAAATTTGATACAAACGCAATGCAAAGTTGAGAAGTTCAAAGGACTTTCTTTTCTTCTTCCCAGAACCGAGGATACGGGTCCTGGTGCACAGAAACTAAGGACTGTTACATCGATGACGGGCATGCGCCGGCAGATCGCAAGAAAGACTCAGGTGATCACTGATTTCCGCCATCACATCACATGCATTAGTCGAAGATGAAACCATTTCCATTAATTTTTAATTCGTCCGAGGAATCCTAAAAATACTTTGAGTGGAATACGTCGAAGATCGCAGTGGTGACGCGAATACAGTACCACGAATTCGATTCGTGTTTCTTCCATAGCCCACCCTAATTTTATTCCCGAGTGAGGATAGTTCTTTACTGCGTCAAACCAAGACACGTCAGAAGAAATGATCCCAAACTGAAGCCTACGTTTAAGGTGTTCACAGCGGTTTGGAAATTTCAGGGAAGATTTGAAAACACTGAAAGGGCGACAAGCGCAGCTTTTCAAATATTAACTCGCGGCGAATTTTTTAGTGAATTTCCTACACCCAAAAACCATCTAAAGCAAAGAATAGAACATGCGAAAAATAATGCGATCACAGGAAAAGGAGCTAGGTTTTTTTTCATTTACCAGCTAGGTCTTCCCACGAATATTTGTGAGCATATTTCTTTTACATTTCATGATCAGAATCTAATTTTTTTTGTTTAATTTCAGGATTGGTGTGCGATCGATACAAACTCTGTCGATGCAAAAACGCTCGGCCGTATTGGAATGGTACCTCGTGTTCCACATCCCCTTGCTACAGTGACGGCGACTGCAGTTACGGACACATATGCTTTCAAGTAAGACTCGGCTCAAGTTAACGAATTCATTATACAGTATATTTAATACTACTACAGTAGTAACATAATGTACTACAGTATATTATTTCATCGCACGGTTTGCCAATCGCGGGATCCTAGCATAACCGATAGCCAAAAATTAGAATCCCATTTTAAATATAAAACCATAGAAAGAATATATCTTTGATTTTTCAGAATTTTTTGATTCGAGAAACGATTCAAAACTTTCGTAAGGTCTTCAACAAAGGAAGTACAGTAGTTCCGATTTAGATTCAGTCTCTTCAATCGATGGATGGTTCAAAAGGATTATTAGTACGGCACTGTACCTAGAAATTGATTTCTTTCAGTAAACGAGTCTGATGCAGAATTTCAAAAATCACTCAGATGAGAAACTGGATTTTAAAGAAAAGTCGTAATTCATCTTCAGAATATTATCTTCAATAGGAAACCTGAGTTGAGCAACCTCTCGTTCAAACATAGCCGCTTCTGCATATCTTCAAATTCAGCATCCCAAACAACAACAAAAATTACCAGAAAATCCTCTTCTCCACGGAAATTCGGTTATTGGATCTATGACATGGTCACTCAATATGGTTTTCCGATTATTTTAAAGATTCGGCGACACTTCAACCCCCTGAAAATTTACAAAAAAAAATGCTATTGAACGTTAATTCGTCACGGTGATGCGGTACGCTTTCAATTTCATATATCCTCTGCGTTTCAACGGGGGTGCGCAGAAAGTTGAAAAGGTTAAAATACATGTTAGCCTACTGCCCTGTAAAAATGTGCGTTCATCTCGACCCATCCACAAAAGGAAACAAAAATCAGATGCAATTTATGAACCAACGAACGCAGTATGATCACGGTACAACTTTAAAGGAATGCGACGGAACTTCCCGTCGCAGTCCAAAATGCTGTGTTTTGTCTTCAGAAAAACTACGCCGAAGATTTCCAATAGAAAGAAGCTCTCTGCAATTTTAATTTTAGTTGTGTGAACAATACTTTACTATGCTGCGTAACCCACTTACCGCATTAATTTGTCCCTAGGTTCTGAATTCACTAAATGGACAAGGGCGATCAATGAAGAAATACGAATAGTAAACTGACGGGCTATCAATAAAACTTGCAGGAATAGGTTCGATTTTCACGAGCATCTCGAATTATCCCCCGAATAAAACCCGTAAATTGCATTTCCCCAGTTCGGACGTACGTGCATCAAGAAGGCCGACAAGCGGGCAGCCGAGGAAAGCATCAATTGGATTGCCGCGAACATGGAATCTCTATTGAAGATGCACGGACTGAATGGAAGCCACGAAAGTCCTACACGAACGCAAACAAGGGCATCTCGTCGAGAATTCGATCTCTACTCAATATACTTCGTGTTGGGCTTCGTCGTTGTACTCCTCATTGTGGTAATGGCAGCTCGAGTGTACTCAACTCGACCGCGTAACCACGATCCCGTCACCATCAACAGCACATCACGCGCTGCCCGCGAACTTCCAGGAAGGAATTTTATACCAGGTATAAGTAACTGCAGTCCCGGAATTCATGAAAATGAACCACCTCTAACATCAAAGAAGCAATCAGCCAAAAAACTTGGAGGAAAGCAGCAGGAAGACCACAAAGCAAGAATTACACATCCGCACTTAATTACTGGAATTGAATCTTGATACTTTACGCTACGTTCAAAAGATATTTTTAAATTTTCATTTAAGAGAATTTCGTAACTAATGGTTCTGTTAGCAACTCCTTCATCACCTCAACGCGAAAAACTGGAATACTACTGTACAGAACTTTCAAAATGTAAACGATGAACAATCCTTTTCAAAGTAGCCATTCGTTATCTTACAAAAATAACGGGTCTTGTGTAATTTCGTATGTGTGTTTGCATGGGATAAAACGAAGTTATCGTTTAAACACCAAAAATGCTCCTTCTGAAAATTCTTTCTATTTCTCCGAATGCATTCTATCTCAGTCTGTTAAAAATATTATTGGTTTTCCTTCTGTGCAACTTTGAGGAAAGAAAGTTCAATGAACGTTGCTCCCTCGTCAGATTCATAAGTCTTCCTTTCATTTTCGTGGCAAAATATTCACATTTGAACAAATTGCTAGAAATGTTTTCGTTCATAAGATCATAACCTTAATGTGGATACCATTCTAGGGAGTACAGATTCCTCGGTAATCCCAAGTGTTTCTTTGATGAAGGGACAGAAGGACCCAGGCGATATTAACTGGCGACTATACAGTGCAATACATTTTTGATACGAGAATTATGTTTCAGTCCACCCAAAAATGTACGAAACCTGCTGAAAAAATATTTTTGGTAACTATAATATCGGTAGTGCGTGGTTTTCTCTTCGCTGATTTTCTTGTATCGCTCTCTAATGTCGCGGAGGTATTAATAAAATTACGTATTTCAGCAGAATCTCGCCTCCTTGGGAGAGAAGTACGCGATTCCGACAGCTCATCAGCATTCATAAGGGAATTGCTCGACGAATGCCAAAGACAATTAGTCGACGACCGCGCAGCAGCCGGGGCCAAACGCACAGTATCTGGTGAACTGCCTTCTTATGATGAAGCCACTGCACCACCTACATATAACAACGCGGTTCAAGGACTCGACGAATCGACCAATTGCGATGTTCAGCCAGCTCGCCACAAAGACAATTGAATGAGGTCCGGGGAGACACCATAATGACGCGGAATAACCAACGAGCTTTTGCTACTGTTCAGATGAAATGGCTTTCCTGCGTCATCAATTCCGTCTTGAGCAATCAATATAAATATCGCTTCGTTTACGAGGAAGCAAAATTCCAGGTTGCTCAGGAATTTTTCATCCCACAGGACACAACCAAGAAGAGCCGGTTGAGATGTAGACGTTTGCGGTAGTTCCGCATTTGAATGAAAAACATCCCGTGTGCGTGGAATAAGTGACGATTCGTTGCCAATAAAAGTTTTCATACCAACTGATTCATTCGTTTTGCTTTCTCATCACCACACTGTTCTTTCGAAGGAATACATATCCGAAAATCACAAAAACGACGTACACCGGGAGCAAAAGGTTGAACGCCTTCACAAAAAGGACGATTTTCCAACTTCCGAAGGATGCTCGATAGAATAAGGGACGTCACTTTTCGCTCTAAAATCTGACATTCAAACCGCGCGCGAATCATGAAAAGACTGAAAAGTTGAGAAGCGAAGACTCACGTGAAAACGAGGGATATACCGGCTGGAACCTTTCACGTGTCGTTTTCGGACGAAGAAGAGAAGATCGTCAGAGTCATGAGAACGATCGTGAGCGAATAGAAAATGGCGAACGAAAATATCTGTCCACTGCGTGGTGCCTTGTACCATCAGTCCCGATTCTGAAAATGTACGGAAAGAATCGTAATACCACACCCAAAAAAGGGTTGCTTTGAATATTACCTTCCGCTTTCGACGCTCGCCGCTGTCCCTTAGCTCTATAGAACGTAATTTCCTCCATCAACTGCTCCAATGCAGTAGGACTAGTTAATTTATCCATCACAATGTATTGAGATCGAATACTTTTTCAACCATCACATGCCAGATACGGCAAAACCTTCGAGAACTGAGACATTCATTCACAGTAAATTATCCAGAAGACTTGCTGGAAGATTTGTCCTACACGAAATTAATCAAGATCTGACCGCAGCGAAAATAGCACACGTACAACCTCATCCTCGGATAGTCATAGTACGAGGATAACTGCCGTTTCCCGAAGCACACTTCGATTCTGATTCTCAGCTCCGCCGCAGACTCCTCGCACAGCGCATAGCCAAGTACGGCAGATGACCGCAACTCTACGTTCTATATCAAAATACTATATGTAGGTGTCGCTACTGAAACACCAACAAAGGAGCTTCTTTCTGATCTTATTGACGAGAAGGGTTTAATAATGTACCAGTCTCCAAGCTTATTCCCCCTCCATGTATTCCAGCAGTAAGTGGCCTTAAAGTGTAATTTACTTCGTATTTTGACATTAACTTGAAAAACATATATTCAAACGAAAATGCGTGATGTGCATGCATCAATGTGATGTGGGCACTAACATTAATAATTGGAAAGATGAAAAAAAATTACGGGAATTACTTTTTGAAAAAAGGGGGACTTTTAAAGGAAGCAGGCAGTTCATTCAAGATCAACAACAAATACAATGCCTAATTTTACGCAGTAAGCCATCTAGAAATTCTAGAATAGTTTGACCTTCGATCATGTTGAAAGATATTAAAATTAAGCTCATTTTATCAATTACATATACAACATTATTTCAAGTGCAATATGAGTGAGACGTGTATTTCTTGGAATTGCGTGCTTTTAAATGTTTCTTATGGGAATTAATTTTAAGTTGAGGTTTCTTATTGTACTCAAGGATTACATGAATGCCCTGTCAACAGCTAGGAAATGCCACGCAAAAATGAGCACATCCCAGCTCAAAATTTTTGATTTGGATTTGAAGTTCTGTTGAGGAATTCGCTGCCGCTTTCGACAGCCGTTCAAAAATCATAAAAAAGTAATTCTTCCACACTCAGAATTCATTTTACAGTATGCCTCAGATATGCCCTCCTATGTGTGACTCACGTTGAAAGGAATAGGACTCCTGATTTTGCCCACAGTCTATCTCAGGAAAATAATGCGATTTCGGCGGAACAGCATCATCGCTGAAAAGTGCACCAATGAAGTTCCCACACTTCTCACAGTCCATCTAAGCAATATAGTACTTTTATTCAGGTACACTTTTCAGTTCTTTCTTTATTTTGCTTAGATGGGTATTGCGGGAACTCCATCACTGTATTTTTCATCAATGGAGTTCCCATCACTGCAATATATATGAAGAGAACATTTTTCGCGACGCAGTTCCCTCTCAGCAGGGCCTGTATGATTCTGCATGGCACCTGTGTGCAACATAATATGATTAACCAGCAAATAATTACTCACATTTTTAATGCTACAAATGCGATCAAACCCCCAAATAAAAGTTTGATTGCAGAAAGTGGGACAGTGTCACTTCGCTGCAAAGCCTATTTTTCTGAACATTTAATTTTGAAAATGAAGAGGTTTATGCAGTACTGCACTGATGACAATATTCATTTACAGATATGAATTGTATCTTAGAAAAAGAAACATTCAAAAATCCAGTTATAACTGTTGTAAATTCAATGGCATTCTTCATGATTCAAAGCAAATATTGCATATCTACAAATAATAGCAAAAATGACAGTCATTCAGAATAACTCCACATTCGTTTACCTTCTGGACTCTTCAACAGAGGAAGATCAAAAATTTCAGAAAAATATATTTCGTCGTTAATCAGAAATAATTCGGAACTCGTCTTTCAAAGATGATGATTAATGCATTCCAAAATCTATCCCCCATATTTATAGTTCGTCAGATAAATTCAAAGCATATTTTCACATTGGTTGCAATGGTGATGGTAGATACCGGTAACTATTTTATACACAGTGGATGGTACTCTCAACTGGAACCCACTTAGTTCAATTCTCAAACTTTATGAAGTTACCGTGTACTTCATAAAAAAACTGGAACTGAGACTTGCTTGCAGTAATGCATCATTTCGATTATCTGAGCTTCAATCAATGATGTCCCAATTTTGTTACGCAGTGTTGTTAGAGAGGTAAGTGCCTTATTTCCAGTAATTAAATTTTCAGGTCTTTTCATATTTCTCATCAATTATATCAAGGATGTGAATCCATTCTACAGTAAGATCAACATGAATAGCATCAGGGAACTAAAAAATTATGAACTTAAAAAAATCTTATTCATATACCGAATATGTGTTCATCAGCTCCGTCACTTGCTTAGATAATTAAAGTCTCACGTATATTTTAGAGTAAAGTATTTATTTTGCTTAAAATGCTCTGGGATTTCTCTGAAATCTCTTCCGCTTCACCAGTCAAACCTGTCCATCTCTGAAATGTGTGTGCGTCATATGAGGGTGCTTGGAAGCGGACAAGAGCTGAAAAATTCCAGAGAAGTTCGAATGAATAAGAAAAATGCGGAATTGAATTTCCAAAGTCCAATTTATTGGCATTCCACGTCATCAAAATCTCTTTCCTCTCTCCAGCGAGACAATTAGGCAAAATAAAAACAAACGCGGGCACAGAACAATTACAGGGTTCTTGCTAACGTTCGCGCACGTGTGCAGTGTGTGAGGGACGCTCGCTAAATCTCGGGGTCCCCGATTCGCACCCGGAGAAACGCAGCACGTTGAAAATCACACAACGCCACATGAGAGACACAAACCAGGGTCTGACACGACAAATGGGTCAAGTCTTATTCTGAAAAAAAGGACTCGAGTCCAAAAAGCCAGAATAGAAATTTCGTCCGGGGCGCGAACAGCTGATTTCAAAGTTGGGGGTAAAAATAATCAAAATAAATAAATTTTTGCGCTTCAGCGCCGGGAATCGAAGCAAAGGGAGACCAAATTGCACGCGATGGAAAATGAGAAGGTGGGGGTAAGAAAAACGTATAAAACATCACGAGTTTTACGAACAACACACACGCAGAGTGAAAAGGAACCCGATTTTTGTTGTCAAGTAGTCCTCTGACAGATACACGAGGCATCTTCTGCTGCACTGTATAAACCCCAGATTTCGCTCTTTCTTTTCAAGTGTCGCATCTCATTTTCCATTTACGATTTGAAAAATATGAAAGACACACAGAGAATGAAACGGGTGCACCGCGTCCAAAAAGATTTTCCCATTCCGTGAATACATGTCTAATCCCTCCACAGATAAAATTTCGTCTCCACGCTAAACGAGTTGACCGGAAAAAAACAAAAACAAACACAACTTTCATAAATGTGAAACCCAAAAATTTTACTTCTCAGTAATAATCATCAATCAATCGCGAAGAGAGCTAATTTTGAAAATTCTTCAGCCAGAAAATATATACCTTAGCAGTCCAGCTTTCTTGAAATTCTGAGATTTTTTTTCGTCGTTTAGGCGTCTGAAGTTCCGTAATAAATTAGTTTACTCTTTCGTCAGCGTTGATCAAAATAAATAGGTTGAAATTCTTTTGTTTCCCATCTCTCGCAAACTTCGTCACAACCAGCATTCCTTGTGTGTATTGTTCAAAAAAGTATATAGACCGGATAAAATTTATCTCGTGAATTTTTCAGTTTAAAAGCTCGCTTGTGGGAAAACAAAAGAAAAAAATCTAGCCGGAACCGAAGCCTCTGCCAATTTTTCTTTCTTTTTTCAACAGCAAAAAACTACTGGAAGACAGGGATTTTGGTTTTCCGCACCAGCAAGTTCCTGTTCAGTCGTCAGCAAAATAGTTTCCGGCTTCAATATCTTAAAAATGCGGAGCTTTGATTTATTTCAATTTCGGGGTTACGGTTTGCCAACCGAAAAGCAGAGAAATTTCCGACATGAATGCCAAGATGATAAGGAGAGCCGAAACTTATATCCACCCGAAAAAAATTTACTTTCTACTGTAACCTGAATTCATCCATACAGTCAAAATAAAAATAAAAATACGGTGGTCGAAGATCGCAGAGAGAAATTACAGCAGTGCTTTCTCAGAATATTTTACGCTTCAAAAACCCTCAAAAGATTTCAGAGAACTATTTTGCTAATTGAGAAAATTGTTTGACACGAATCTGATAGTCACTCCGATTCTACAAATCCTGCTTCGCCGAGCTTGATCAGTCGTGAAAAACAGTGGTCCCCATTAAAAACGTGGTTCAGATTCGCAGTCCCACTCAAATAAAAAGACATAACGGAATTCTCATTCTTCCAAGGAGCAACAGTTACACCTTCGAATAAACTAAGAAATTTCATCTTTGAAGAAAGGAGGAATAAAAACCAAACCCACCCCCTTGCTAACGCAATTGAGTCAACTCTCGAGATCAATGGGACGGGCAGTGAATCTTGCATCCAAAAAGAAACAAAATTTCGACGGTGAACAAAGTCATTCAAGAAAAAAAAAACACTTCCTGAACTTCCTGGCAGTTTCACAAGACGGAGGTTTGCATTCAACGTAGGAACAATTGAGGAAGAAAAAGAAAGCTTTCCTTGAAAACACAACATATTCCAAATAAAATCTCAAAAATTATATAATCTGAAAAACAAACGACTAGCTATGTCCTCATGTGTCTTCCCGAACCCAAAAAAAAAAACGTTCATAGAAAAACCGGCTCGAAAACTCTGAAGGGCTGCTGAAGATTGTCCAACTCGCTAAGTTTCACTACAGGGCGCATTTACTCGACGAACCGCACAGGAAAACTAGCTAGTCTATAGCTAAAATTCTCATGATGTTCACGAAAAAAATAATAATAACTCTCGACAGTCCCCACGTCGAAAAAAAAAATCCACACGCAACAATCGCAACTCGCATCAATATTCATAAAACACAAACTCTTGAATGAAAAAGATCTGCGCAGGTACGGAAACGTGCATTTAAAAAAATCCCGAGAGCACAAAAAAAAAAGCCGACGCCGAAATCCCGTCTTTTTCTTTCCGCTCTACCCCTTCATTTCCTTAAAATCTCATCGACTCAATTCCACTTTTCTTTTTTCTTTTGCCCCAGCGTCCAAATTTTGCTCCGCACAAAGTTCGGCCGAATAAAAAGAGGCCGGGGTTATTTGGCCCGGCCGACTGCAAAACCTCGTTTTGGCAGCCTATCGGTGAGATTCGTCAATTGTATGTGATTCCTTCTTTCTTTCTTCCTTTCTTTCTTTTTTCGCCGAGCGGTACACATATCAAACCGAAGAAGAGCAAAAAGGGGAGTTCGGCGATGTAGTTCCGGTACGCGGTTGTCCACGTCGTCCGGACTTTGAAATCCCCTTTCTTTGCAGAGAAAGCTTTCCTTTGAGCTCGTTTGGTTTTCCCTTTTCTTCATTTACTCGTCGTGGGATGAAGAAAAAGACGGAAAGAAACTTCCGTCGGGTTCATCACGCCCCCGTGCAGTCAATCTCCACAATGTCCTTGGGAACGTCCACGAACTGGTACACCAGTCTTTGTCCGTCCACTTTGGCGAGGATCCCACGCTGGTAGTAGTACCTGTGCAAACCAGAACTCTAGGTTAGACTCCTGAGGACGACTTGCCGCCGGATTTCAGAGAGAGAGAGAAAAAAAAGAACGAGAGTCGAATCGAAGGAAAAATAAAGTAAAAATAAATTTCTAAACGAAATGTGCTTATCGCAACTTTGGTCGAACCAGTTCGCGGCGGCGAGGTTGCCTCGAGCTCGGGAACACGGAGCAACAAAAAGCACAAAATCAGGAAATTTAGATATGCTCTTCCTCCAATACAAAAATACCGAGCGAAACCGAAGAATAAAAAACTAATTCTAAACTAGGTTTCTACTGACTGACACACACACACAGAGATTAATAACCAATTATATGTGAATTGCTTACCTCAGTGCTCTGCCCATTGTCTCGTAATTCATGTCGGGCTTGTTCTTATGTAAACCCCATAGTCTGGACACGGCTTTCGAATCCACCAGCTTGAAGATCCCCTTTTCACGATTCGCCCATTTGATATACCTGGAGAGATTGAAAAAAAAAGTGAAGAATTAGTGACGACTTCTTCACCTAATGTAATTTCTCAAACAATTAATAAAATCCGTGGAAAACGTTTTCAAACAGCACGTCTTTAATTGAAAAAATAAGATAAATAAAAATTCCGGACAAAATTGAAATTGTACAGTATATCGATAACAAAAAGTGCACGCAGGCACAACCTAGTAATTATACAATACACGATCTTTCCTATCAATATGTGCATCACAGTCTCTCTGGTAAGAACATCCAAGCCTTTCACCCTCGACAGAATCGCCAAGTTTTTTCCCCGAAAAAATATCGAGAATTAATGCAGATTTATGCCAGCGAACCATGGGCATTATTTTTACATCCACCCATCGCATTGCATTTCCGGAGAAATTTTTACTGGAGTAAAACTGTTTCTCAGAAGAGTCGGAGATTTCCCGGAACAGTCCGGAATGTAAAACTTCAAAAGGAACTTGAAAAAAATATTGTATCTACACAAGCTATGCAGGGTAGTTGAGACGGATATTCTGTCAGATCATATTTTTCGGCACGACACATTCTTACTTCGTTTCTTAGGACTTCAATCAAGATAATATCTCAATCAATTTTAGGTGATGAAAGGAGATGAATCGGCCTACAAGTACATAATCTTTATTTCAGCAGTTTTATTCTCATCAGATCGACTCGAGAGGAGGTTATTCACGTAAATTGTGGTACAGTATTTCCGAAACCTTTTCGGAAATTTGCTTTAGCCTCAGTGATATCCCATCAGTGAATAAAGCTTGGATTGCGTTTCTTTTAGTAAGACGCACACCAGGGGTTTTCAGTCAACATTTTTTATAAAATGGTATCCCTGAGTAAGATGCGCACCCCATTTTTAGGAGCTCTAAAGCTGCAAATTTAAAAAAAATAAGAAAACCCAAATTCTAAATTCAACTAATTTTCAATCGTTTCCAGTACAATACGTTTTTCTTTCAAAATTGGTTCAAAATGTCCTCTTAAGATCAAATTTAATTAACACCTAAACTTCTAAAACTTACACGAACCACCTTATTCCCCCTTCTCAAATTTCAGGGCAAAAAAAGGCGTCCGTGGTACCATACTCGTCTAAATACAGTAGAAAAAAAGAAAGATGCGGCATTGAACTAGACTAACCTTGGACAGCAATCTTTGTCCTGTAGAAGCTTGAGAAGGAATTCCCACAAGTAAGTCGTGGATCCCTCGCGGCTCTTGCGCTGTCGCAGCGAGTTCGGGCCCAGGTCCGTCGAGTGCGTGGGCGAGCCCTCGTCATTGCTGCTGCTGCCGCTGAGTCCCCGCGGCCGCCGCCCTTTCTTCTTCTTGAGCGCTGCGGCGGCTCCGGGCGGCAGTAGCGACGTGGCGCCGGGGCCCTGAGACGTCATGCCAGCAGCAGCTGCTGCAGCGGCGGCGGCGCCGAGGTGCGCCAATTGCTGCACGCCGTTGGCAGTGTGGTGCAAGTGGCTGTGCCCGTGGCCGTGTCCGTGCTGGCCCGACGTCATCAGGTCTTGGTGGCTGTATTCCAGGTGATGCCCGTTGAGCCCGGCCACCATGCCGTAGGGGGAGTCGAGTCCGAGGGCGGCGGCGGCGGCCACGGCGGCCGCGGCGGCCTGGTGCTGGTAGCTGCCCGCCGGGAGGTGCTCGTAGCCACCTGGGCCTGAGCCGGCCGGCGAGTTCGGCACTTCGCCGGGGTAACTGTAGAGATCTCCGACTGCAAATTCAAGGAAGAAAAAAATAAAAACAAATTGATTAAGGAATACATAAATATACACATCGTAGTACTGTACCGGTATTTACAGTTATCAATTGAAGACTTCTTCAAAAGTTGAACAAATTTGTAAGCTTGGTATTATTGGGACGTAGCTCCGGCAAAGTTCGGGATCATGTCGGCTTCGAGATACAAACAATTCAAAGAAAAAAAAAGAAAAATAAATCGCGCCTTCCTTCGCAACCTTTGTGCATTTTCGAAATTGTAAACACAAAGTTTATTTGTTCGGAAAAAAGGGCAGTGTCCTTCCCGCTTAACAAAAGTGTTTATGATACCTTCAATTTGTAAAAAGAAAAAAAACACAACGCAATCTTTGTCCGACTTATTGCATACATTTTACGGGGAGAAAGACGAAGATTTTGACGAGCCTACATTGAGCAAATGATTTCTCAAAATTAAATTTTTTTCGGCTGATATACAGGAGGAAATATTCTGGAAATCGATACGGCTCAAATCAAGTACCATCGATTCGTTTCATCTAAGATTTCTACAATGATGTTTTAAAAAATGATGATAGAAAAACTACTCGGATCAGCGTAGTACAAAACAGTGCAAAGCGAGTGTTACGCACGATTCACATTACAGTACCATTTTCTTGCGTAATTCAAAAAGAAACTTACGATACTGAAGGAAAAACTAGCGTCACAGCGCAGGAAAAACAACCGGCGCTTCTTAACTTTTTTCCACACCGAAGCTTCCAAGCATTCGGGTGTCGCTTCAGTAATTCTTCAACAAAAACTTTCTACAACTTCGTGCTTTTCCACACATCATGTATTTTTTTACTATCGCTCGTAAACACAGACGTTTCGAACGATCAAACTTAAGTTCAGAAAACCAAGGAATTCCCGAACGCAGAAAATGGTGGCAAATGTTACCCATGCAACTGGATACATTTAAAACACTTATACTGCGGGAAGCTCATCAAAACGCTCTGCAACGGCAACTTTGAACAACATTCTCTGCTTTTTTTAACGGATTTTCCATTTTCGCAAACGATTCTATTGCTACGGAAAAACCTGAGGAAAAAATTGTAATTCACGTTCCACCGATCGCCCGACACGTTCGCATATGCCACGCATTAAAAAAACTCCGCTAGAAGTTTTAGTCGGTTCATGGAATTTCGAATGAGGCGAGTCGAGGGGTTTGCACTCGATCCCACATTCAGATTCACATGAATCACCGATTCCGTGACTCCTCGCAAGTCGGAGGAGAAAAAACGTAAATCAGACCCTTTCCCGATTCGGAAACTGAGGGGTTTTTTTTTAAGCCATGCAGCAGGGAAGTTAAGTTGCATCTGTTAAAGGCGTCGCGGAGACGTATCACATTTCCAAGTTCGGTGAACCGAGAGGCCGGTTTGACTCAGCGAAGCCCGAGTCCGGGCTGGTGGAATCGGAACCCAGAAACACTTCTTTTTCTTCTAAAAAAATAATAAACTTCTATCTACTTACGGATTTTTCTACCGAAAAAAATGCAACGCGACGGGGATCGGTCAAAGCGGAAGTTCCTCGGGTCAATCAACCGACAGTGCCGTGGAAAAAAAAAATATTTAAACTAGTCGCATCCGTCGGCTGCGCTCGCTGCTGCAAGATGTAAGCAGTACCCACGTCAGACAGGAACGACGTTGTCCATCCCGATCACCCGCATTCATTCTTTCGGTCAACCCCTCCATATTTTTGGTTTAAAACCCATAATCAATCCCGATTTCTTGGAAAAATAAAAACAGAGTAGACTATAACCATATTATTATGGGCAAGCGAAGGAGTGGCTTCCGGTTCTGAGTAATCGCAAAAGGCATCCAAGAATTATCCCTTTCCTCATTGTCAGACTGAATCTCACCGGCTATCAAATGAAATCTGACGCCCTGTTTTACTTGCACTCAAAAACTACCTTCCGCGACAGTCCAGAAATGGAAAGGAGGAAAAGATCAGTACAGAACAGCAGTACCTTCTGGCACTTTAGTTCGGCTCTCGCTTGAAACTGATTCTTTTGATACGTTCTCAAGCAGTACTTGAGGTTGGAAACTTTGCTTCATGAAGGTAATGAATTACTGCATAAATATGCTTCCGCTGTGGAAAGGATGGGCATTTCTTTTCATCAAAACTTATTAATTCAAATGCTTTCCTATCCTGAAAAAGCTCCACATTTATATGCGCAAAAAAATTATTGATTATCCGATACAAAGCGGACGGATCTCCGAGTGAGTTCTGGAAGGTTATCGGGAACTACCCAGGATACAAGATGCAAATGCTGATCAGTTCGACAGAATAGAATAATTGAGAAGCTGTTCAAGTTTCGATAGTTTCCAAACTGGGAAATTCCACTCCTAGAGACTGACTTTATGCAATCGTCCCCAAGTTTGACACATCGGGTTCGGAATATGTGATCGGCGATGTTTCATTCATGATCTGCAAGTGTAAAAGCCCGTGATGAAGCCCTCAACTCAACGGCACGCTGAAATCTAACGGAAGTCCGGCGAGAAACTTGACACCGCCAGAGAAAACTGAAATTTTCAGAACTTATACCCAATTTGTGGAATTTCAAAATGCCTCTCTTCCGTTTCCGGAATTATTTCTAGAAATAGAAGACGCCCGAGTACGTAGGCCTGGAAGATGCATGTTCTTATAACTAATGCCAGGTGTAGAATCCAACTCAGGTATTGGGAGCCGAGAAGGCAGCTATCGAAAAACTTAATATAAGACCTAGGCCCCTTTCGACAATCCTCAGCGATGCAGAGGATGATAATCCCGGGTTTCCGCGTTTCACAGAGAGACAAGAGTTCAAGTTCAATCGCTGGACGACGCGGGAGCGGGTCCGTGACAACGAAGCCCGGCTCAACAGGGAACCCGGGCACCAGAAATGTCGCGGATTTCCCAGGTGCACCCCGCGTTTTAATTCGAGCCCTTATCTAGGTCCGGGAATCGGAGCAGTCTTGGCCCTAGCAGGATGTTGCCTTATATAAAATACACACACGAAAAGACAAAGGGAAGCCCCTCAAGAAAAGAGATCGCGTGTCGTAACAGGATTTTATTGTCTTCACGGGTCCTCAGGCGTAGAAACACAAAGATGCCCATGGGTTGGGAAATTTCAGGCCCTGTGTTGACACCCCATTCTTACGCCCAGTACTTCTTTGCTACAACTGAATCCCATAGAGAGAGAAAAAATGAACCACTTTCCATTGGCAATATTTTTTTTTTTTTGGCGGAAAAACTAAGAAAGTTTTCAGGCGAGCGGCGCAGGACGGATGGCCCGCTTAACAAGCAACAGCTGCCAATGTTGTCTTGAATCCCTTGAGCTATAGGAAGGAAGTGCGTAGCACGGGTTACTTCTTCATTTCCTTCATTTCTCAACTCGCTTTTTTCTTCTGCAAATGAGTCAGTCAGTTTTCTAGCAGGACGTGCCTAGACGCAGTAATTAAAAAGAGCAGCGGAGGAAGGGCGAACGTGAAGGGGGTTTTAAGTCGATTTTCTTTCGCTCTCCCTCGTTCCACGGACTTCACCCACGCGGGTTTACTTTACTGCGACTCAGGTTCAATGCCAGATGGGTTGGAGGGGAAAGTCGGTACTGAATTTACGGAAGTACTACACGTGTAGGAAAAAGTGGGAGAAGAATCCTCCCCTTTCTCTTGTCTTCTCGCTTGCTGCTGCTGCTTTCCTGCGCGTGCGCGACGAACGGAGCCTCGAATCGTCGGACTCAGGCAATCCGCATTCATCTCATTGCTTATCATGAGATATTTTATTCTACATACGAGCCTTACAGAAGCAGGGTACATCAAAAAGATTATGTAGCATACATTTCTATTGTACAGTATCCCCTCGAAAAAAAAAACTCTTGTCCGGTCGCACAGTTGCTTGGAATGAAAAGATATAGGGGTTAAAGCGCGTCTTCGGGAGAGAAGAATCGTATAAATTATCAAGGATGGTTCAGACTTGTCGGTAACTTGAAGTGAAGTTCTTAATTGGGGCATTCGAATTTCTGTGTCTTGGCCCGTTTAACAAACGAAAGATCAATAGTGAAACTTGAGCAATTTCCTGCTCACGAACTCGAAACAATCTTTACATTTTAACGAATAATTTCAATCGCGAGAAAATGTTCGAATAAATGTCGAAGTTGAAGACTTTTTACTTAAGAAATATTTTAAAAATCACTTTCCATTTTGTCAGCACATAACGACGTTGAAAATACTGTAATGGGGCGCACTTTCGAATCTGTGCCGTATCATCTTTCCATTTCAACCCGGGAGAACAAAAGTTTCAAAAGTGCTTCAAAACAACGAAAAACTATTTCTTTTTTTTTTTACAAAAACATACATTCAACTGTCCACAAAAATGAGGACAGCCAAAACTGAAGCACCAACCGGAGTATTTTTTAAAATTTCAGGGACTCAGAATATGGCATGTGGAAAGGGTCGAGATGCGACACATTCATTTCGTTTCGGCAGGAGTTGACGGTTCGAAAAGATCCGGATTTCGTAAACAGGTGATAAACGGATAATGGCTTCTGTTATTTTCGGCATCATTACAAACGGAGGGATGAGAAAGGCGAATACAGTACAGTACATTTGAAAGCGAGGGAGACGAAAACCAACTGACCGGACACTGATGCTTCAATTTACTGGAAAAAAAAGGGACACGCCGGTGATGCACTTACGGTTGGAGGTTTTTCTTTCATTTTTATTTTGTCCACAGCGACGTAAACAGGAGTCGACTCTCCCTATTTCGACGAACAATGATCACAAACGGACAGGAAGTAGGAGAAAATTCCTAAGGTAGATAACACCAGATCAAAAACTCCCTAGCGATTCCCTCGCTGGAAAAAGAGCGCCGCCCTCAGGGGTGAAAAGAAAGAAAGAGAGAAAAAAGAAGAAGAAGGGAAAAATAACACCCACAGCAGGTTCATTTCACGAATCCCCCTGTGCCACCCAATTCCAAACAGGAAGCATCCCCCTGCCGCACGACCGCAACGGCTTATTGTTTCCCCCCCTCTTGTGTACCTGTTGCGCCTGGGCCAGGGAAACGCAATTAATTCAAACTCCGACGGTTACAGACCTTAATGCAGGAGAGGTTCTTTCTCTCTCTTTCTGTCTCTTGTCTGGCTGTTTCGTGGCAACCGGTCATTCTACGGAAACATTCCCTTCAAAATTCACACAGCTCTGAAAGATGTTCCCCCAGGAGGGGTTTTGAGGAAGTCAACCAGC